AGCTGTGAGATCCTGGACAAAATGCAAAAATTGACACTCGAGGCAATTGCAAGAATGGACGTTTCTTAATACGAGGACAAGCTTGGTCTCTTCGATATCGAGTTCTACGCAGAAAAACCAGCAAAAATTACAATCCCGAACAACATTTCGACAATCGAATTATTGCTAACAAAGTTGAAACCGCAGTTCTCCGTGAATCATCAATGTGTCTGATCTGTCTGAAAAGATAGAAAAGGATTGTCCAAGTGTACGAATATATGCCAAATTTCGCAAGGATCGCACGAGAATGTGTGTCGTAATCTCGGCTGCGCTGATTGGCGAACGGTATCCTATTTCCGGGGGGGATTCAGTATTCTACTAATGGTAATTACTTACAATAATAATCTGTCCTTCGTTAGCGCATGAATACACGGCGTATGCAATAATAAAGTTTGCATTTTCTTCACAGTCGCATGCACCTGTCTACAGGGTGTACACGTCCGAACACAATATATTTATGTTCGTGTACATATTATATGTATATGTGTACACATAGATCCGCATACATTCGCATACATGTACATATCACATGTCACATATGCGTATACCGATATATGCATTTGTACACCGGCGCAATATGATTTCTTTGCGCTTCTGACAATAATAGTAAAATGTATTTTTACATGCAAAAACAAAAATTGTTATCACAGTGGGACAGCATACATTCGTTAATAATGCAATATTATGTTGTGAGTAATACATAATAATGTATTATTATGCAACAGTACAACTTTTGCTTACGCCCACGTTTATGTTTTCGTGCTCCCTTCCAATTTTCGCACCCGGTATGATCCTCCTTCTCACCAGCATCCTTGATGCGTCATTGATTAATGATCGCGACGCTTATCACCTTGCAGCAAACGCCCATTCTCATTCATCCATTCGTACACAATCGATCAGTCTCGCGAGATCATCCGACGGATGATTACGGCGAGTATTAACGACAGCAATTTTATACAATTAATTAATTCTATTGTTAATTATGTATTCTATATTACGTGTACAATTAATTAATCGTATAAAATTGTCCGATTAGTACTCATGGTGCTTCGTGGTTATACCGCTAAATCTACAATGTCGATCAATATTATGTCGATTCGTAGCGATTTCACGTCCCTGCACATTGCGTGCATTGACAAATTTCTTTTTAAATCAATCCTTAAAATAATATATGTATATATTGGTTTCGGCGCGAGACCAATGCGAAGAAATTATGTTACGGCAACTATGTTGTGCATACACATGCAATTCATTCACAATTTGATTATCATTGTTTTTCTCTTTCTTGCTGCAAGGCTATCTCTCACATTCGCATTCACACACTATGACTGCGCTTATTACACTAATCAACTTTTTATCACTGTTTTATCGTCAAAATCGATTACGTCAGCTTATTGTAAAGTTTCGCGCCCCTCAGATTCCCTGCCTTCCCTTTCTCAACTCTCATACTCGTTTGCTTGTACAAAAGCTAAGGCAAAGTTTATTTTCATTCACTCTCCTTTCCTTTTTATTCGGTCAATTTTCGGAGATCACAATGTAACGCACACAAATGCGTTAGTCGATAAAATCTTCTTCCATATGTTTTTGCAGATTTACTTTGGGCCAGTCCTTTCCCTTCCCATTAAATTGCAATTCCCTCTCGCACTTACGAGAATATCTCTTATTGTTAGATTCGATCCAAGCATCGAAATACATATCAAAAGTCCAGATTCTTTCGCGCATACATTATCATATCGTCGATTTGACGTAATGGTCGTCAATTTTTTCAAATTCGACGGAACGCTCGAATAATAATTTCTTCAAATGGACACGATGCAACAAGTCGATTTCGTCGATTCGATGCTATCGATACAAGCCGACTCGACAAATCGCAGCGACACACTTACGTGCAATAATAGTTAAATATAGTCAAATAATAGCGTTTCCACGCTCACATTTGTCAAAAGTCCTTTCAAATACGTTCTTAACTATTAAAACTTTCATTCGGCTGTTCGGCAAAATCTTATTTGTTAAATAATTTATGTGCACTTAACTATTATTGCATCACGCCAACAAATCACGCACGTGCACTTCAATCATTATTTCGATATAATATTCTTCATGTACCGGTCCTGCCGAAAATATTCGCGCCACTGAGGTATCACTCATTTCCTTTTTTTCTTTGTTATAGTTCTTTGTACAAAAGAACAGCCGGCTCGGATATCATAGAACGACGTTGTCTTTTATCGGCCTTTGTAAGTCAAAAGAGAAGAAAAAAAATAAAATGGATTGAAAAATGCTAAATACTAAAATTAAATTAAATGTTTTTCTTCCGAAACAAATACATCCATTATAAGTGATGTGCGATCGGCTGTAACTCTCACAGATTGAGAATATCAAATTTATTAAAATTATATCAATTTTAATCCCAATTTATTAACGCTTATGGTAGCGATCGGCCAATCGCTTTTTCACGGCCATTGATAGGCACGCACACGCGATTTTTACAGACTGATGCGAAACGACGGCTAAATTTTTTCAAGACATTTTGGCATCACTTACATTTCTGTTCGTTTTCAAAATTGTTCAAAAGCATTCGAGACAATTTCTCGTCTCACGAAATGTTACGATAATCTATCTATAGAGTGTCGATCAAAAATCCGAATCATTCATGATTTAGATAAGATATATGGTATGAAAAAGAATCAATTATTTGGCAAAAAAGTATTTAAAGTTAAAATTTAAAAAAACACTGCTCGTTCAAAAAGTTTACTTTGTTAGTGGCAAGTTTGTGGAAATACCCGATTTCAGTAAGAAAAAGTAATGCGCTATATTACTTTGGCTTAGGAAAAACGAAATAAATTTCGGCAAAGTATTCTCACACACCAGAGAAAGAATATGATAAACTCGAAAAGAAAAAAAAATCAATCACGCAATCTACTACTGCAAATATTAATAAAAGGCCAACTACGCAATTTGTGTAAATTTAAAAGCAACATATCAAGCTCGCTTGTTTGCAATTTAGAGTAAAAGTCATTATTCGCATAATCAATGTTTATCAAAAATATTAAAAACCAATTTATGCAATTGAAAACAATTGTATTTCGAATCGCAGTTATCATTCATCCAAAAGTACAGTTTGATGATTATCAAATAGATTCAAACAGATCTTTTGATCTTGCGCTTGCTCAACGACTTGATTCAATCGCTCGATCTTCGAATCTCGTGAATCAGGATTGCAGGATCGCAGGACCGCGGGATCGCGGGATGGCGGGATCGTGTGTGTGTGCCTGGTTGACACGTTTGCCCGAGCCTCCTCAATCGACGAGACTCGCGTAAACACGGAATTAATACAACACGACGCTTCATCATATAATATATATATATATGTATATGTAATATATATGTAGGTATATACGTACGTATATATTATAAATAATCAATTAAAGATTTGTTTCGAAAGTAAGTAAAAATATATATAGATATATACGTGTATATATATATATTTTTTTATTTTCCTCTCTTTTCTGCTTTCTCTCATATCTCTGCATTCTATATATTTCTCCACGAAAAATGCGTGCATTGCATCTATGTATACCTCGCATGTGGATCCACTATGTCATGCGCGCGCGCGCGGGTGTGTGTGTGTGTGTTGTTTTTTTATGTGCGCGCACGTGTGTGTGTAAAAATCGTGTATGCATGCTGTATGCGCGCACTTGTATAAATATGATCTTCTTCCATTAGAAAAGTAACGATAAATGCGATTCGCGATAGATTCGAGACAAATGGTGACGATACATTATTTTCGGTTTGCTATTGTGATTTATGAATCTTGTGTTTATCACATTCTCTATACAAAGCACATACATTCGCAAAATATTATTATACAATAATGAAAGACTAACGAAAATAATAACAATGTTCAAAGCAATAAGAAAATAGAAAATTATCCCATCATCTTGGTGAGAATTTTCTTAAGCTTCAAAAAATTTGAATAATTTTATATTTAATAATTATACATATTTTGATGTGCAAAATACATCAATTCTCATGAAAATATTAAATCAAAATATTAAAACTATAAAATATTAAACGTTACGTGCGCGTTTTATATGTATTATTGTTTCTGTGAAAATTAAAATGTAGAAACAATTTTCTCATTCAGATTCACCTTTTTCATTAAAAAAATGTCGTGAAAATGTAATATATTAATGTAATGTAATATGATACCTACAAAATTTACAATTACACATTTATTATTATTAAATATAATTATTACTTATTATTATTAAAATAATATATAACAAATGTAACATTAATGGCGCCACCAAAAGATTCCATCGCGAGTCGTACTCATCGATCATAATATTTATATAACTCACTTCTATAACATTATAAAAATTGTCCATCGCCGTTGAGTCGTTTCTTTCGCACTTTTTATTAGAGTAGTAATAGAAAATTCATCACTCTCCTTATAAAAACTATGAAGAACCTTGAAAATTCTCCCTATTGTTCATTAAGCAAAAATTCGATCGCACTATTTGCATATTTGCCCTATGAAGACAGTTAGAAATTCAACACACGAGATTCAAAGCCTTGGAACATGATTCCGTAAGTCTGTTCTTCACAGGGCATAAGTTAGGTAGGTATGTCGTCGCTGTTCTGCTCTCTTCAGAATACGTAAATATGAAATGATACAAAAAGTTAACAAGCAAACAAGGTCTCGAAGAGGAGAATAGCACGACGATAAAAGATGGAATGAAACGAATGGATGACGACGGACAATAAATTGGACAATCACATAATGCAAGTCAAGCCGCTTGCCTCTCTCGCTCCTCTCCTCTGCTTCTCGTTTGTATAAAAAATCTTAAATTACCTAAGTCTATGTAATTCGAAGCAATTCGAAATGAGCAACGAATCTATCGTTCACCAATGCGTAACTCTTGTGTGATTTTCGGTTGTGATCTCGTTCTTTCTTATTGTTAGATCTATCTAGCGCAGCATTCGTCGCTTTGTGCTCTTTTTTAAAAAAGGTGAAAAGAGGGACAACACACCTCGTCGATCTTCCTCGCTCGCTCGCGTTTATTGTTTTCATTATAAATGCTTCACTTGGACTGCTATCCAATTTATTCGCCATTACTATACTCTTTTGGATCAAACGCTAACCACCTACGTTAAACAGTTTCTTTGCTTCATAGTGGCGCGGGAGACACTTGAAAAACTACCAATCTCAATGCAAAATCTCATTGCGTTCCTGTTACACTCTCTACATTTACCGACCGCTCTGTAAATGTGAGATTTCTCAGGAATGTACTTGGACATTTTTCTCATCTTATTTAATAGGAAATCATATCAAGACACAACATAAATATCATCAGGATAAAAAGGAAAAAATAAATATAATGGTAGAAAAAGGGCAACGAATGATACATGTACAACTGAACGATAAAGAATGAAAAACAGATAATAGGAATAAACATTTCCTATATTGACATTCTGATTCTCTCATATTTCATTTCCAACTGATCCTGACGCAAGAGCAGTCTTCGTAAGATAAAAATTATTGTAGCATCGTTCGATTACATGTTTCATTTACATATTTGCATTTTTTTCATACTTGTTTTTCTTTACAAAGATAATTTTATTTATTCTTCTTCGCTCTTTGTCCTTAATTTTTATTGTGTCCCTAGTCTTTCCGTTTATTATTATCATTGAGAATCAAGACTTACCCCAGCGAGAAAAATCGACTCGATATGCTGCTCACGAGAATGCACACTAAATTTTTAACAGAAAAGAAAACTTGTAAATGTTTGAGAAAAGAAAATGTGTAGAAAAAAAGATGAAAGATGAGAAATAAGGGTCAAAAGCGATCGAAAACGACAAATAACTCTGCGTTCCATTCACAACAAAATTTGAAATTTTATATATACACAGACATATACGGTACCCCCCCCCCCCCACCGCACACGTACACGCACTCGCACACGCACTCGCACACGCACTCGCACTCGCACACGCACTCGCACTCGCGCACGCGCACGCGCACGCGCACGCACACGCACACGCACGCACGCACAATTTTCTTTTTCGCAAATCTCTGCTTAGCGCAGTGTCCGAAATGTAATAATGTATAAAAAAAAAAACTCTCTCACTGACGAAACTTGGTCACGATCCGCTGCGGAACGCGATCGGAGGGCAACAAAGGTGTTCTTCGCGGTTAAATCCGAAAATTTGGCTGCAAGAATCGAGCAAGTTCACTTTTTTATGTAAGAAACTATGAAATATATATATAATAATTGGATATGGCGTACTGTCATAGATACTATGTAAATAAAATATATTTACTAAATTGCGGTAAATTAACCATAATAAATTAAAAGTAGTTATAAACACGTATATTTCATATAAAATTATGGCGTATTAATGTCAATTATATTTGACAATATATGTGTTTTAAAAAAAGTCTTTTAAATTTTCTTTCATAAAAAGTAAACCCGCCAAATTCTCGTGACTAGCTTCTCGGTTACTATAAGGCGATATAAAGCCGTCTCGAGGACATAAAATCGCTTGGCTATTTATTCTAATATCACTATCGTAATTCAGTGTATCGCAGAAAAACCGCCGCTACCGCCGTCAATGCGAATCACAGTACGCGGTCTTGGTTGAAGCCGCGAACGATGCTCGCAAAAAGCGGTCGGGATTTTCGAGCAATCAGTTTTCGACTTTATCTGAGTGATCACGTTTAACCCTTAAAAGCTTAATACAATCACGATATAACATAGTGCGTTAAAATTCGTATTAACTTTCAAGTGAGAATTTTGTAGGGAAAACAATGTACATTATATTACGAGGGGCATTTAATTGTAACATGTTATCAAGATTAACATGTGGCTTGAAAAATTACAATTTGTCATTTGTAAAAATGTCTCATAAAACACGATAATATATTACGCATTGCCCAAAGCAGCATAAATATCAAAGATCAAATTAACTTGTTGAGCTACAATTGTAATAATCAAAAAATTTTAAACTTTTACAACTATTTGCACAGTACTTAGTTTACCTACTTCTTGTGAAGAACTTCTTGTGATTGGACACATACGATTAAACCAATTTGATGTAACTGTTACAAATTAAGATCATTCACGACTGATGCACGACTGTACGAGACAAACTAAATAGCTTGTAAAACAGATTCAGGCTGTTAAGGGTTAGACGATTATACGAGACACGACTACCCTGATTACCTAAACTGCAAAACGTACTCTCAATATGAATGAAGCGAGCCTCGCTATCCCAGCCGTCAATCCGACGAAGCATTCCTGTAATCCCGACGCTTCCGAGCGGATCAGTTCTGCGCGATAATAAGCAAAAAACATATTCTCTCCTGGAGAACAAAATCGACGACGGTCGAATTTCATCACCACCCTGCTGAAATTTTGACGCAAACTTTCGACAGGACTCTCTGCGAGAGGATAAACCCTGAGGGAGTATCGGTGATATCTGTGATATCGTTGGTGTTGTTGGTCCTGTTAGTCCAGAGGTTCCCAAACTTTTTTATTCTAATTGTTTATCGAATCTAATATTTTTTCGTTTCTCTGATAAATCCTATAATAATGCTTCTATAGGAAAATGGGTACAAATCTTTCAATTGTTACATGTCACACATACCAGAACTGGTCAAATCTCAAATCTTCTCCCACGCCTATGTACATTATCCTTACATTTACAAAATAAGAATGTTGAACTAATTTAAACTTTATTATTATTATTATTGTTGTTATCATCATCATCATCATCATCATCATCATCATCATCATCATCATCATCATCATCATCATCATTCATTTATTATTATTATTATTATTATTATTATTTATTATTATTATTTATTATTATT